CAGTATCCTCATTCCTTCTTCCTCTGAATCCTCTTCTAAACACTTTATTAACTCTACCGGTATCCCGTCTATCCCAGCAGCCTTACTATATCCGGCTTTATGGCTCAGTGGTAGAGCGTTGGGCTATAAATCCGGAGGTCGGGTGTTCGAACCTTGGTTGAGGTGAATTTTTTATCTGTGGCAGAGATGGGAATTACCTTAGACCAGTTTCAAGCATTCTGCCGGCTTACTACTTCTTTTTTTCCTCTGCGGTAATTTTCGGCTTCCTCCTTTCTTCTATTTATCAATTGTTCTTTGCCATTTTTTCCTCCATTTGTTTTCTGTAGTTGCATGGCCCTTCCTTGCAACCTTCATTTTCATTTCAATTCCCATTACCCTTCCTAGATATTTATCCACCTCCCTTAATTTTATCAAATCCCAACCCCCTCCAACTCTACCAACAAAAGAACATGGTAACTTGGTCACTATTAATATCTCTGCACCTGGCAATCCACACGCATTTTTAGCCCATTTCTGTATCTCTATTCAATCATGATGAAATCAGTAGTTCAGACAATTATTGAGAATCGTGCAGGACTAATGTACCAGTGCGCCAATTTAGATTGGCGCACTAGTAAGCCTGATGGCTAAATGACGGCTTTTTTAAAGCTGAAAACGTCAACTAAAATTTAAGTATTTGATAACGAAATTACAAAAAGTTATTTCGTAAATGTTTAAAGAAAACCTAATAATCCAGGCATTTTTTAATATAAACGACTTCTTAAATTACAAGTTGACAGTTCTGTTTAAAAAATGTGTAAAATAGTCTTCATAACTTGTACATATTCACCGACTTGCGTAAAACTTTATAGTTATTAGCGCTAATAAATGATTATTATATTTTGTTATTATTCCTTAAAACCAGCTTTAGATTCCAAGATCAATGACCAGTGCTAAAATTGGAAGTTTAAGATTTGAACAACTGCCGAATGTTCTGAAATTTCATGCCGCAATGTAAATGTCCAGTAACTTTCTCTCGTATTCGATAACTCATGGGTTTTAGATCTGCAATGACCACGAATTCTTGCACGAGATGATCCAAAAACCATTCCTCGAAAAAATTTCCGGCAATTACATAGCCACTCGTGTAAAAATGACTGAGATATAGGTACCTTTAAATCTGTATGTCAAGTGTATGGTACGTATATCAATATTGATTGACATTTTCATTAAAATCTATTGGAGTGAGAGCTAGTGTAACTAAATACGTCATTCAAAATTTTGAGTTTCTTGTGCAAACTTCATCGTGATAACTTCGTTAAAATTGTTATGCACAAAGTACAAGGATTCTGGTTCATCGGCTAACAATACGATCCTGACAATGGGTTAATTCGTGCAGTGACCAAGCAAGTCGGGTCGCAGACGTGACTACGAATCGTGATATCCAGAAATCGTCCATCTACTTTTAAAATCCATTTTTTCCGCCTTCGGTGCCCACACACTTTTGTTTATTTCCTCTGAAGGAGTCGACCTTCCGCTAACGAAGGTGCCGAAAAATTTCTATTATTGTAATAGGGTTAACGGTATAACTTTTGCTTTAAATTCCAAGATGCTTTTTAATAGTCTCTCATTTGTCAACGTTTTCTATTTGGGCAGTTCGTCACGGATTAATCCTACTTGGTATTTATAGGTCAACTTACAATGCAAATGGAGATTTTTTTTAAAATACCATTCCGAATATAAATACTGCCATCAATCGAATTGGTTACAGCCACATACTAATAATGTTCACGACGATTAAAACGAAATTATTGTTTTTCGATGAATTAGCGAATGCGAATTGGTCACACACAACTTCCGTTCGAACAGGTTTCAGGTGGAAGATCCATGGTCAAAGCGCACAAAAAGAGGCAAAATGAATTTGGCCATACAACAGTTCGTAGAATAATAATTACGTAACCAATATAACAAAACCCCATTCAACAGATTCCTTGTATCAATTCCTGCTATTTTCTTATGTCTTAAGTCTTAAAAGACCGCGCAAAGTAATTTTGCTAAGAGAACCTAGCATTATTTTGTTGGTATCTTCGCAATGGCGAACCTTCATAATAGCTACATCATTCTTGAAATTTCAACATACTCTGCTTCTTTTGCAAAAAGAACCTCCGATTGTAATTTTTGATTTTGAAAAAACAAAAATTGAAAGAACACGTTAATTTTCGTCAGGTTTACAGTAGTTTTAGCATTTACTCCAAGTACTCCTATTTCGAGATCCTAATTAGCATACCCTGTCAAGTGACACATTTTAAAGGCCATAATTTCTCTTTATTGAGATATCCAAGCGTTGCATATACTGTAACAAAGCACGCGTTTTCTAGCTATCTAGAAGTCTTTTAAGTCGGCCGCTTCGTTACTAAGTAGTTTCTGAATCCTTTTCTCTAGGAGTCTAGGAGTTTCTGTGTTTTCATTTTATTTAAAGCTTTCGTAGATACCAGGTGCTATCAATGATCTCGCCGTTTGTAAATTGAAATACCCAGTTTCGAGATTTAATTCCGACTAATTGGATAAGTATAATTAACGATTCAAACGCAAAAATTAATGTTTGCACGTCATACAACCTTTTATCCGCTTGAATACATTACGTGCACACAGCCGTTCGTTACATAATTAACGATTGACATTTAAATGAGTTACAGAAAACCCATCGGTTTGAGCTGGGATTTCTTTAAAAAAAGTGCGCTTAAAAAATTTGAAGTCTGACATCAGTCCTGTATTTTCCCGATATCGGGGAAAGGAGTAATTAATGAAAAACAGTTTAATTTAGTTGGACGTATCAAAGGTATACGCGTACGAAAGGGGAATCCCAGTTCTCCACACCCGAAAAAGACGTTTCGTAAATAGAAAGCGTGCTATGAATTTTGGTCTTTTTGCTTTTGCGTTTTCGCCGCTGCGTTTTGTAAGTACCGAAATTTTGAGCTAGCAGAAAATACACTCCGGAATTGGGTTGGCGAGTTGGTTTTGGATTAGTTTTAGTGTAAGCGCATTACAAATGGAGCAATTAAACGAGCTGGCCGACGAATAGGCACAATGTTGACCAATATGAAGAAAGACCTCAACTGGAAATTTATCGACAAGGTATAGAACAAAATCATAACAACATTGTCCAGTTACAGATACCAAATCATGAATACCACAACACAAAATACAGAGAGCACCTGCAAAAGATCTACAATAGAAAGAAAGGTTATATGGAGGAGCTACAGAAACAGTAGCAGATGGAGCAGAATAATGAAGAAATTAGGGAATGCAATCCCGCAGCAAAATCTCAATCCCGGTGTTTGCCGGATTGTTAGATGTTAAACCCCCGGGGGTCCCGGTTTTTGCGGGATCCCGCAAAACTTTAAATAAATTGACAAATAAGCAATTCTGTGCGGTTAACTTCTGTATTAAAATAAATCGCTAATTATCACAATATTTAACAAAAAAGCACCTTCAGCCTAACTTAGAACTCAAAAAAACCTCACCTGTAAAGCACAAAAAGGTGAACTTCTAAAGTGCCTCAAAAATCATAGTATATTTTTAACGAAAGAAGTTTAACAATTATTTAAAAAAGAACTTCTCCGTTATGCGTTTCATTAACAAACTAAACAGAGTCGTCCCCTTGATCGACAAATTCCTCAGTCCCGCAAATTCCGCGAGATCCCGCTCCATTTATGTGCGGGATTAATCCCGCAAAAATGCTGCTGGATCCCGGTATTTTGGGATCCCGCGATCCCGGTATTGCATTCCCTAGAAGAAATGGATAAGGAACAAGCGCTCCGAAAAGAAAAGATTATTTCGTCTGATGCAGTTTAGAGGGATACTGTTCCATGTGGAGGAAGAAAAATAACGGAACCAAATTCAAGACATTCAGGCAAATGCGAGGTGAGCCCAGTAACTAAATTGAAATATGAGTACGACACAATACAATAAAGGTCAAACCTGGTTACAAAGGAGACAAAGGAAAAGGCAGCAACCAACATCGAGCTGTCCCAAATAAAGATACCAAAGTTTTGGAGTGGATGTGAAAATTGGGCTCCCCTCCGCGAATTTTTCGAGAAATTAATGCCGGATCTACCACTTACATCGTTTGAGAAGAACAAGGATCCATGGAAAAACGTGCTGTTAGCCGATTCTACGCTGACCAAGTCCGGACCAATTAGCGTACTTCCGCGGGCAGAGGAATACGCCAAGATCATACTACCTGGAGTCATGAAAGAAGACGAATCGTTGGGTCAACAAACCGAATTTGGTTGAGTGAAATCCGGGCAAACAAATCACACCAACGACGACAAAGACAAGCGAATATTTGGTATGGAAGAAGAAAACTAAATATCCATATTTTGAGAAATGATTCCATTCAAGGAGAATCCTACAAAATTTGGGGGCTACGATCACTAGCGATGGCCAGGTCGTTACCATTGGAGAAAAAGCTCGCCACAGGAACGAATTACACTGCAGAACTTCTACGGGGGTATTGGGAACAAGGAAACTTATCCTCAACCCAAAACGGGATAATAAGTAATTATCGGTACTGGGTAGCTATACATAAAGCATCTAAACACACCAGTCAATCATACCAGGAAAACTCTGCAACCACCCAATGCAATAGAAGAAATAATTATATAAGGAAAAAAACCATGAAAGAAATGTATATGCACGCACTGAGCTCGAAAGGAGGAGAAGAATAGAAGCAAATGAAAAATGAGCTGACAAAAAGGCACCTTGTAGTGGATACTAGAGAAAAAAAGAGAAAAAACGCATCTTACGTTTATTTTGTTGTGATACCAAACGTGAAAAGTGTTCCTGTTTTGGCGTCAAGTAAAGTTGATTGATTGATATATGGTCATGGAAGTCCTCCAGAGATTAGGAAGTCTTGGTACACGTTTTCGACAGTAGGTATTACTTGTTTGTCATTTTTATCTTTTGTCCTATCGATCTGTTTGGCAATAATTTTAAAGCCTTGTAATGGCGATAATCTAATCTAACCACTTCTGTACGGGCATAAATACCCGTCGACTTGCATCTCGTAGTAAGTATACCAAATTTTCGCCACCAACAACCAACGAGATGTACTTCAAGGTAATATTGTTGACCGTTACGCTGTTCCTGTACTGCGTCCCTTCATCCGATGGTAAGTACCTTTGGTTTTTATTCAAATTTTGTTACAAAAACTCGTTAACCGTAGCCTTGTCATGCCTGGTTTGCAATAGCAATTCGACCGATTGTGTAAGTGGAAAAAATCTAGTAGATAAACTGTGTGTTGGAGATGAACTCGCAGATAAGGCTTGCATCTCATATTTGTCGCCTGGACGTAAGTGATATAGCAATTTGGTGATATCAACTAATTATTTAACTATTTAGGTGTCGTTGTAAGGAGTTGCCATATTACTAGTGGGATACCTGAGGTATGCAGTGCTCTAATCGAGACGTATCCAACTAATAAACGTTGCAAGACTTGTATTGATGACAAGTGCAATAACTTTGATTACTCTGATATACACTAATAACAGTTGAATAAAACTACTCATTATTTCACTTTATGTTTTAGTGCTATGGCTTATTTTAAGAGTAAGAGTAATAGAGACAAAGTAGTCAGCGGGTGTAAACAAAGCGACCCAATTCAGTCGTGTGTATAATAAATTAACATTCGTGGAATCATCACGCAATGCGACACCGCTGTCTTTTCTGCTTGACCGAAACTGGTAACTTACCCAGATACAAAAAAACATATGCATTTCCAATGCTAAAATGTGAGAGAAGCTGCGGTAACGCTATTCTGGTTTCTTCCCACAGTGCTCGCCCCTAGGGAAAAGTAGAAAAAGGCCTCAAGCAACATACGTCGATCCACGTTTTTTTGAAGTGAGCGTTTGCCTCTTTAAATCAATGTTAGCGCGTAAGCGCGTGTTGGCCAATAATAGTTCAAGAAATGCCGTAATTTTTAGCATTGGAAATGCTTATGTTTTGTATGGGTATGAAGTTACCAGTTTCGTCAAGCAGAAAAGAAGACACTGGTGTCGCATCAAGTGATGATTCTCCCGTATTCGACTGCAATCGGTAGATTCAGGAAAAGTTACGAATACTGTCGATACGTTACTTACTAAACAGTGCACAAGGGTTTTGTTAATTCGAATCTAAAATTCTCGCACATCACCCGTGATAATATTACAAGAATGTTACGACACGAGCGAGCCTGCGAGCGAGTGGAGCAAATGATTCCGTGTGATAAAGGTTATTTGTGTTTTACATATGACTTTATAGGTTATAAGTTATAATTTCCAATGTCTCCGATGGTTGCATGGATAAATTTTTTACTTAAAAAAGTAGCTATATGTACAACTGTGGTATGGATTAAAAGGGGTCTTACAAATTCATGACCGATGAGTGTTTCTGAATATTCATAGTTTAAAAAATTCGCCGAGCATCTACTTTTTTATACAGGGTGTTTATTCGAACACTTCCCACCACGGATTTATCGAAAATTAAAGGAAAAAACGCCGAGACACGTCTAAATATTTGTCAACTTTTTAACCAAAAACTACTTCACTCTCTTTCACCCTCTACCCCCAGGGCCATTCCCTTAACAATTTTAAATGACAAGCGGTATCCAGTAATAGCATGTTTGAAAGGTCTTTCGAAGTCCTTTATTTTGACTTTTATTTTTTTTAAATCGGTAGATTCGTTTTCGAGAAAATTAGAAAAATCTATTTCATTTATTTAATCGACCCATCTTAAATTGTTCAGATAGAAAACAAAAACATACGAAAATATTACTTATTTGTTGCTATGGGAAAGAAAAGAATTTATTTGCGATCAGTTACCTTTGTGACAATCTTGAAATAGTGATAATTTATTGATTCAGATTTTACTTCCATCTTTTACATCATGGAAATAGATAACTCACGTGTTTTGAAAAATGTCCGTCACGAATTTGAACATCGCCTATATCATTGTTTGGCCAATAGCGGGCAACATTTTGAACATTATTGAAATAAAAAGTGATATTTTCGTTTGTTTTTGTTTTCTATCTGAACAAATTAAGATAAATAAAGATTTTTCTAATTTTCTTGAAAACGAATTGACCGATTTAAAAAATCAAACGTCACAAGAAAGGACTTCGAAAGACCTTTGAAACAAGCTATTACTCGATACCACTCGTCCCCCTTAACAGATCTGTTGACGTGTCTCGGCATTTTTTTCCTTTAATCGGTGGTTTTCGATAAATCCACGGTGGGAAGTTTTCAAATGAACACCCTGTATAAACTGCACAAGATATAACAAAAATCATCTTTCCCATCTTGTTAATTTCCCCATATTTTGAATGGCGACTTGAGCTCTTTTGACAGGATAAGCCATGTAATCCGTTTTCTAGGACGTTTTTACCACAAACGCATTCGTGTCAGCGACACATAGTTTAAAGTCAGAGTCAAAGGTTATCTAAGATCGTGCCAAAGCTTCTGCTCGGAAGGGAATTTAGCCCATCCATTTTGAAACGGGCTTTAGGTCATCTAAGGATAAACTTGATTTGTCCTATTTTAACTTCGTCTCACTTCGCCCGGATACCATGGACAGGAGACAGGAGCTAATTCCAACTCAACGGAGGTCCATGTTATGAGGGCTTCTTCCAAGCAAGAGGTCAAGAAAACGAGGAGGGCTACGCCATGTGCATGCTAAAACCAATATAAAGTGGCGTATTTGTGCGAATATCGGGCTACCGTTTTTACCGTAAAAATAAATTATTACCAAGAAAGACCAAATTACAAAACGTCCAATTGTGCTACTGTATAGATAAGATTAAAAAGCTAGTTTATTAATCAAATTCGTGCACCTAAGTTGCTTATATAAAATTGTGAACAAAATGGCTACCAGTAAAAATGATAAAGACAATTAATTTAAATTTTGTGTATTTTTTATAAATAATAAGGCGACCCAAACTAAAAATATTGGTAATTTCTTTTTTTCTCTCGAGTTTCTTCTTCCAAAATGCCTTTTGATGTAGTTATTACGTTTGTTCTTAATTCTCATGCCATCTAGGTATTTCCTGGAAACCAGTGTAATCAAATGGAAGTTAGTTTTGTAGTAGATTTCTCATTACCTTATCTCTTTATTTTCGCCACTAGAGCCATCCGAGTGTTATCGGTTTCTTTTTCAATAGTTCTTCGCTTCGCCGCCCAAGATCGTGCAGATGTTTTCTAATCCCATCCCTTCTTCAAGTTTATCTTGCCCACGAGTGGTATTTCTCGCGCAATGAAGATTCTGTCTTCTTATTGGTTGGTTGCAAATTATTTTTCTTCCGTACGCCATTACTTTTCGACTGACTTAGTGTCCACCTCTACGAAGTCGCTCGATAAAATCTAGATTTTCCCCCGCGACTTCGTATGATAACGGAAATCCAGCGTACAGAGTGCAAAAACGTAAAAACATCGACACGGTACGACGCAAGTAACTTTGTCCATGGATCGATCGGTACGCGAAATAGCAGAGTGTGACATAAACGGAAAAAGAAGATTAAAAAAAATCGTATAATCCCATCGGCACTAAATTATTGTAAAGTAGAGATATCCAAGACTGCGAACAGAAATAAATCAAACAATTTCACGCTTGGATCTTTGACATTAACAGCTAATGATAGTTCGACAGTTTAGCTGGCAGCAGAAACTACCAGCTTACAAAATTCGCCACTCGTTTTATTTTTCAGTGTAATACTGACTACTTTTTTAACCAATCACAGTGAAGGTCGGAGCTTCCCTATGCTTTCTACCGCTATCTTCTTAAATTCTGTTGTTTTGAGTATTTCAGTAAATAAATAAATAAAATGAATAGAGTTAGGGTTCGCCATATGTCAAAATGTGACATCTGTGACCAAATGTTAGCTTTTTTTAAATTTATATAAGTATTTGATAACGAAATTACAAAAACATTCATTTGCTTGTAAGGCGTAATGCTAAAGCAACTATAAATAATTAAAGACTCATTTTTCTTTTCAGTGACTAGACCGACGTGTAGCTTTGGAATGTTAAATCTGTCCTGCTTAATTAATAGCTGCAGTAAGGTATTTGTATTGATTATTTCTAATCATGAAAAAATTCAATATTTCTTAAAAAAGTTGGTATTCAGGACAGTCACCACCGCGCCGCGCCATTTGGAGTTTTACGACGATACTATTTCCTAAAAGATTTTACGCTTTTCTTATCATTCTTTGGATGGCAGGTCAAAAACGCTATGCAATCGAACCCAACGTTAAGTTTCTAACTTCTCTAGTTATTCAAAGTCATAAAAGGTCCTAGGGATCATGGTGCTTTTAAAAAATGCATTTAAGTATATCGCACAGTGTATTTTTTCTGTACGACATTCTTCTGGTTCTTACCCTTTCGGAGTGAAAGCTCGAAATAGCTTCAGCAGGGTGATCCGTCTGTAGCTTAAATCCCTAGGCTCAGTTCAAATGTAGTTATTAATTAATGATACACTTTCAAGATTCAACTCCCAAAATACTTTGACCCTTAGCCGAAGAACGATTAAAATGTGACCTAATGCAGATGTTCAATCCTTTCAGTTCATAAACGATCAATTAGCTGTAAATTCTATTCCAATTCTGGATACAAACTCTTTCAAGGTTACAAAGTGGTTTCATTCTAAAGGTATCGAAGCTAATAGCAAAGTAGGTATGCATTGAACTTGCCTGCATACAATGGTAAAGTCTGGTTTTGTAACAAGTGAATAGTAGCAGTGCATATAGAGAGGAATATTTTGTTTTATTGTAGTTACAAGAGTCTCGATAATAAATAGTATTTTTATCATATTGACTTTATAGCCTCTTTATTTTGTCCCGCGTTCTTCGCATCTTTTGTTGTGACATCTGAATAGCAACAATGGCCAAGGACGATCGTTTATAACGTCGCAAGTCTACCAACTGCAATAGTATTTCTGTAATAATAATAAAATTCCTACCATTCAGTTTTGCACACAACAAAGTGATTATTATTGATAAGCCGATTAATCTAGTTTTCCTTGACTTTTCAAAATTGTGCTACTAACAATATTGTAATTTACTTCATGTAACTTTATAGGTAGTGCACTTTTGAAATCACTTAAAGCACGATTACGGATCTTTTAAAGTAATAATTATCCTTGTATTTGCATAACCTACAAACGTTATTTAATTGGAATATGTGCCTCAAATCGCAAACGTTCACTTCGTCAAACAATGCTTTTTGTCGCATACTCCAGTTATAATTATCAATTACAGAATGGAATTCAATAGCATTACGATGGCCGTTCCGATATTTTTATAGACGATGAAGAAGAAAAATGTTAAAAGAAAATATAAATGACCTTGCTTTATTGTCATGTTTATCGGTCCGTGGCTCAACAAAACAACTTCTTCTCATTGTGAGAAAGAAGACATTATTTGCTATGGTTTATGCTTCAATTCAACCATACTGCAATTAATATTCGATATTAATATAACCAACAAAAACATCAAATTTTAATTAAAACGGTACTCATCATTTATTAATTGCTGTTTTTGGAGTCTAATT